CCTCTATTCTGGGCGGGGGGGCTGCTCCACACACAGACGGAGGGCTGGAGGCAGCAGCAGCAGCAGCGGCAGAAGCTGGGGCTCAGTGCTGCCCCTCCTGAAGGAGCAGACTTGACCGCTGTCGGTGTCTCCTCCCGCCCGCGGTGCTCACACTGAAAGTGACGGTGCAGGTCAATAATAAATAAGTCCAGGCTGGAAGCGTTCACCTGAGGAGAGCCGTGGCAGCTTCAACCCACACGGTGAGGTTCTGTGGTCGGACAGGGACACTGCAGCAGTGGAGGGAAGAGAAGAAGAAGAAGAAAAAAAAAACAAGAAGAAAAAAAACAACATAAAAATATCTAATCCTCCAAATATCTGAGCATTGCGCCCCCTGCTCAAACCAACGCAGACACAATTGGTCTGTCACTTTGCGGTCTCGCTCTCCCTCTCTCTGTCATTGGCTGCAAGAAACCAACCCCCAAACGCTCCTGCGGGCCAATCACAGGCCCGGAAAACGATGGAGAGTCAAACTGTGGCTGCGCGTCCTCGCCACTGTACATACATGGACTCAGGAGACCATCCATCCATCCATCTCTCAAACAGAACATTAAAATACAGAATTTAATTCGAATAAAAAATATTAGCCTATTTATCAGCCGAGGCCACGATGTAAAAAAGTATGACCTAATATGTGACTATGTGTATTTAACCAATGGCTGAGCTCACATTTGGATCTCAGTGTATGACATATTAATAAAGGTTATGTCTGACACGTTAGCTTCCTTTCTGGTGTGAAAACGTCATGGTGCAGGTATGTAAACGTGGTAAACGTATTAAATAGATCGTTATGTGTTCTTCTCTCTTTCCAAGAACTGAGTATTAAATATGTTTCTCCTAAATCTTGGTGTACTTTAACATACAAATCGAAGAGATTTAGATTTAGCTAAGCTGCACGTCAAAGGTTTTTCTGCACTCACAGTTCTAGCCTGAAAAGGAAAATACAGTCAGATAAAAGAAGAAATCGAATTAGAATCAAAATTTGCCTTTTTTGTAACAGGAAAGTCCGTACACTTTTTTTTTACGTTTTAAGATCACATTACTATGCAGTATTCGCCATCATTCCTCGTCTAGTGTGTGCTGAAACACCGCCCTCTTGCGTCCGTAAGCTGCAACAGCAGCTTGACAAAGTCACGCAATCATACATCATGACCCTACCACAAATAAGCTCTTGGTTTTACAGAGACATTTTATTACAAACGAGAGAGAGAAAAAAAATCCCAGAGGGAAGGAAATAGAGGGAGGAAAAACATGTTTGCTGTAATTAAATAACCATTTGCTTTCATACCAAATGTTGGAAAAGTCACGTTGTTGTCCTGATCTCCTCTTACAACAAACTCTGGAAAGTATTCATGTTGTGGTTAAGCACAGTCTTATTGATGTGGGAGGCGTCAGCGCCCACCCCTCCAGGCTTTTCCACCCATGTTCATCTTCTTTCCTCCACCTCCACCTCTTCCTCCACCTCTTCTTCCTCCTCCTCCACCTCTTCCTCCTCCTTCACTTCTTCCTCCTCCTCCATCTCCACCTCTCACTTTCTTCCTCACTCCGCTCGCCTGTTCTGTGTCGTCGTCATCCGCATCCCTTCCTTTGGGTCTTTTCCTTTTTTCTCCGTGTTCTTCATTTCCTGATAAAAAAAAAGAGAGAAAAAAGAAAAGGTTATTGCTTTTTTTCAGTGCAGGAATCAAACAAACATAACAGCAGAACTGTTCTATTTTTAGGCTGCAGTCGCAGTTGTTTCTGAAGTCGTAGGAACTGAAAAGGTGACACAGAGAGTGCATTTCAATTGATAACATACAGATCTTTCCTGACATTTTTGCCCTCCTTAAATAAACTACCATGAGGTCAATGAGACACAGAACTGAAGGACTGAAGTGTTGGCTCCCTGGATCAGCACGTCCTTGAATCTCGTAGTACATCTTCATATTGTGAACGGTCAATAGATCAATAACTAGCTAATGGTTGATTTGATGGACGACTCTCTCTCACCAGTCTGGCAAACCTCTGGGCCTCGCTCACCCTCTCCACCAGCATCATCACTTCCTCCTCGTGGGTGGGGAAGGCCGGGAGCTTTTTACCAATGAGAGTTTCAATTCTCTGGAAAAGCTCCACATCGTATCTAAGAAACAGGAAACATCAGTTTATATAAGAAAAAAAAAATTCAAAATACATGAACACACATTTCAGGACAAACTGTAAGAACTCACTGAGTTACAAAGGTGATGGATTTCCCAGAACGCCCTGCTCTGGCCGTACGACCAACTCTGTGAATGTAGTCCTAGAAAGAGAAAAAGAAAAAGATCGACATTCAGCCTCATGAATCAAAAAGATGGAAGAAGTCAATCGGCCAATCAGCTGTCGGCTCGAGTGTACTGGCACCTTGGAGTGAGTGGGGATGTCGTAGTTTATGACGCAGTCCACGTGTGGAATGTCCAGACCTCTGGACGCCACATCAGTCGCCAGGAGAACTGATCGAGACTTGGACTTGAACTTGTTCAACGCTCCCAGGCGTTTATTCTGACCAGCAGAGGGCGATACAAAACAGAGGGAAAATAATTAACACAATGAAGAGACACAGATGTTGGTGGTCACACTGACAGAAATGTGTGTGTGTCTACCTGACTCATCTGTCCATGTAGCGGGATAGCAGTGATTCCGAGGTTCCTCAACAACAGCGCCACCCGCTGGGCGTTATTACAGGTGCCGCAGAAAATGATGAAGGAGTTTCCCGCCAACTCGTTCAGAATGGACACCAGGTAACAGTCCTACAGGCAGCAAAGAGTGTTGGAACATTCAACCGTCGACATGAGCGAACTTTGAATTCCTCCAAAATACTGAGCATTACCTTGTACTTTGAAGGTATGAAGACGTAGTACTGCTGTAGTTTTTCCACTGTTGTGTATTTGGTGGACACTGCACACTTGACTGGGTCTTTCAGAGCTGCTCTCTGTAGTTTCTGGACCTGCGTATGAAGCCGGAACCAAACAGACCAAAGGTCAACGAGATGCTTTCAACCGTGATCAGGACTCCTTCGGTTTGTCTCCTAATCACGTCTCTTACCTTTTTGGTCATGGTGGCAGAGAACAAGAAGGTGCGTCGTTCTCGAGGAATCACTTTTAAAATTTTGTCCACCTGTCAAAAAAAAATGAAGAGTTGTTTTCTAGATAAGAAAAAAAACTAAATTTTTCTACTTCACGTGTCGGTTAAAATCAGCAAATAAACGATTTTGTTCCCCCAGTGTGCGACTCCAGACTCACCTCTGTCTCAAAGTCCATATTCAGGATCCTATCTGCTTCATCCATGACCAGAAACTTGAGCGCTCGCATGGTGAAACCTTTGGTGTTTTCCAGATGGTCTATCAACCGACCAGGCGTGGCTAAAAACACAAATAATAAATAAATAAATTAAAGAACGAAGAATCTGCTGCTGCGTAAACGTTACAGCGAGGTAACAATAAGTGGGTTTTTACCAATGACAATGTGTGGTTTCTTGGCCAAGACCAAAGACTGAGACATCATGTCGATCCCTCCAACGATGACAGCTGCATCACAAATACAAGAGTAAGAAAATATCAATATAATGAAATACCGTGATATTTCATTTCACGTTCATATTCTACACAACTGTAACAATTTTTATTAACAAACATTGTGCAACTATTCATGGTGTCGATTCATTTTATTTCGTTTTTTTTATGTCAAATGTAGATCCATCTGTTCTTCATCTCTGCCTTCAACAAACCGACACGTACCACATTTGACACCGATGCTGGAGCCCAGAGCCTCAAACTGCTCAGAGATCTGAAACGCCAACTCCCTGGTCGGAGTGAGGACGAGCGTGTGGAGCCGCTGCGGTGAGGCCAGCAGTGACTGGAGGATGGGCAGAGCGAAGGCGCCGGTCTTACCAGAACCGGTCTCTGCCAGGCCGATGACATCCCTGCCTGCAGGTGCAGAGGAAACAGATGTGTCGCATTGGCCAAAATGATCAAGTAAATTCCCTGTGACTTTTTATTGTGGAGGTGGGAACATATTTGTGTAGTTCTGGCTACAAGTGGAGGTGGGAACATATTTGTGTAGTTGCAGCTTCAAATTTGTGAAACCAAGAAATACTTTTGAACAGTAATATTCTATGATTGTCTACCTAATACTTTAATCTCAGGTCAGTATTTTTAATAACTATAACTGTCCATAAAGCAGCCATATAAACAAGGATTCTAAGTTTTACAACAAGATAACTATGTCAATGACAAGTGATTTTGAACCACCTAAAACGGACGGTTTAGATTTAGGAGTATCTGATACACGCTGTAGTATTTCATAGTATTTCTACTTTACTTCCAACAACAAAAAATGCACAAGTGAAGTCTCATCGAGTACAAAAAGTAGTCAAACCTTGCAGAGCGACCGGTATGGACTCTATCTGGATCTTTGTAGGACTCTTCCATCCCAGCTGATCACATGCCTCACACAGAACCTCGGTGACTCCCTGTAAGAGCCAAAAAAACCGTTTAAACACATGTAATATGTTAAAAGACTGTGGAGATAATTTCTACGGCAGAAGAGAGGACTGTTTGCCGTTGTTGTTGTTGTTGGGAGTATCAGAACTAGCTCAGTGGGCTAAGATGCTAATAAACATTCTCCTCGTTGTGCGGTGCAAAGAAGCCGTACCAGTTCCTTGAAAGTCTTCGGTGTTTCCTCCTTTTCTTCGGTGTGAACATCGCCGGTGTCACTGTCGCTACACGAACCGTCATGTGTTTCACCGGCGTTTATTTCCACGCTCTCCTCCTTGTCGTCCGCCATGCTGCTTCCTCCCCAACGTGTCGTCAGCTCGCCAGTGCGCAGACGCAGAAGCGCTAGCTCGCGTTCGTGCAATGCATGATGGGAATAGTGTTCAATTTAGGTACCGACGCAAAAGTATTCATTAGTTTCATTAGTACACATTGAATTTAACTGTAAACTTGACGGTCGTTTAAAAAAATTAATCTTTTTTTGCCTGATGAACAACAATTTCTAAAGTTTTTTTTGCTCTATCGCGAGTTTTTGCGGTATATAAAAAAATTTAAATTTCCAATTTCGTGATGAAATAAGCATTTTCTAGCTTAAGAAGAAAAAATAGTAACATACATTAACACATTCAAATACATTTTGTAACACATACATACAGGGTGTTGCAAGAAATAGCCTGTACGTACGGGTAAACGAGATTGGTTAAAGTCTCAGGGTGTTGCAAGAAATAGCCTGTACGTAAACAAGATTTGTTAAAGTTAAGGGTTATTATATACGTATATAATATAATAACTAGCTCATAGTAAAACATGTAAAGTAATAAGTACAAAATAGAAAAGGTTTCTGGTGATTTTATTGAGCTACAGGTCAAACTGTGTCAAAGTATTCTGTCAGTGGCTCAGAAATGTTCCACATCTATGTTTAATGTTTTGTACATCAGAGGATTGCTGATAAACAAGCAACTACGACAGAAAAAAAAAATTCATACAAAAACACATCTTTTACTCATGCCAAAGTTCACAAAACTGCATTGGGGAAGAAAAACACATGGTACAGAACTTGATGGTGATGGAGTTTTTATCTTACACTGGGGACCTGATGGAACGGCGACAAACCTTAAATCATCATCGAACAAATTGCACAATGTGACCAGCGATGCAAGAAAAACATCCTCATACGGTTTGTCAGTTTAAAAGCTGTTCTAAATGGCTTCAGGACGGCCTGCTTTAATACAACATACAGAAAAACAAATGTTATTTAAAGAAGCTTCACTGTGTGTGAGTCTCAGAGTCTCAGAGCAGACCCTCCATTTCTCTCATAAAGGCTTCATACACCTGGTCCTTAGTCTTCATGTTTGGCTGCGACACGAGCTGGGCTGGGTGGGATATGGACGTCGCCGACATGTGTTGTTTCTGAACGTGGATAACTCCCAGACCTTCGTCTCCCCTCCTCCCTCCGGCACTTCCTGCTTTGTCCAGCGGACCAGGCGCCGCCCCAGCCATTGGGCCGCTCTTGTCTCTACGCACCCTCAGTGCCGTGGGCACAAAGCGGGTGACCTCTGCCTTTGGATTGATGATCTGAGGTTTGGCAGAGATGGTGGCACCACCGGCACCGGCGCCCGCGGCCATACCGCCTCCCACACCTGCCACCGAGGTGATGTTGGCCCGTTTCTCGATGGTGGCAGCGTGATGGGGGTTGCTGCCGGGATTAGCCGTTCCTGGGGGAGGCGGCATCTGCATAACGCCGGGTCGCATGGCCATGGAAGGGGGAGGGAGGTTGCTCTGTGGACCATCCTGGCCCGTCCCTGAGCCTTTCTGACGCTGGACAAGGCTGGGAGGAGCACTGAGGACGTTGGTGTTGAGAGGCGGAGGGAAGAGGGAGAGCGGTGGTGCCAGTGGACGAGGAGGCCCTCCTGCTCTTGGTGGAGGAGGTGGCATACCTGTACAAAAAAACAAACAGTCAATGAGAGTCACCTGGACCTGTAGGCCAAGTTAAACTGGGTTAACGGCCACATTTAGTCTCCAAGACCCCGGAGAGACCCAGTGCTTCAAGAACAGACTAACCTGGTGGTGCTGGAGGAGGTAGTCTGGGTGGCGCGTGGAGGTGGGCCAGGAGGCATGCCTGGAGGTGGACCCGGTGGAGGACCTGGAGGTCTCCCTGGAGGTGGTCCTGGTGGCATAAGGCGAGGCACTGGACCCCTGATGCCTCCAGGCATACCAAGAGGTCTCAAGAAAGGTGGAGCACCTGGAGATGTTACAACAGCAATCAGCACGTTTCAAAAACGTCCAGGATTTCAAACCATCAACCAAAGAACATGAATCTAACCTGGTGGTGGGCCAGGGGGCGGTCCAGAAGGTGGACCTGGAGGCCTTAGCGGAGGAGCTGGGGGTGGGCCTAGCGGTGGAGGTCCAGTCATTGGTGGACCTTGCAAGTGTGGAGGTCCCTGCTGTCCGACCGGCCCGGCAGGAGGGGGTAGTCGCTGATTTGCCATGAGCTGGGGCTGGTTTTCTGCTGGCGGGGGCCTGTCCTCCATGTCTGAACCGTCAGAATCGTCAGTGTACTCCTCCTCCACCTCCTCCTCTTCCTCCTCTTCAGGTACAGACTGACCTGAAAAATGAAAACAAACCAGTGCATCAGACAGAGACGACAGAGTAAACTTCCCAGGTATGTTTGTAGTAACGTGGGTGTTTGTACTGCAGTACCTGCCATCCTTAACATCATGGCCTGTAGAGGCGTGATGGCCTTTGTTTTCTTCACTAGTCGCTTTTTCTTCTTCTTCCCTTCGTGAGATGCCTCCGGTGGTATGTCTGCAAAACGTACACTGCGACCTAAAGCACACAGAAGGTTGCATTAGTTTTCTGTGAAAGACCACAGTTCCATCAGGACCAAACAAAGAAAAAAACAAATTAAAGAGACATACCAACAACACCTCTGTCTCTGTCCTCGTCCCTGTCTCTTTTATCGTCCACACTCATTCTCTGATCAGCGTCAGGGTCGTCATTCCTCTCGTCTTCACTGTCCTCCTCAGAGTCGCTGTCATCGTCCTCATCGTCGCGATCTCTGTCGCTGTCGCTGCCACTGTCTCTTCCCAGATCCAAAGAATCTCTTTCAAAACCAGGAATAGACGGCTCTATTGGAGGGAGAGGTTAAAAAAAAATTGAAAAAAAAAAAAGTTGACATATAATTATTACATATTCACAGTAACAACCTTTACATAAAAAAAACATATTTCTATGTTACCTAAGTCTGTGCCAAAAGGTCGTCGGGTAGGAATTCCATACAACGCAAGGACTTGAGGAGGTGGGGGTCCAGGCGGGGGTCCGGGAGGTTTTTTCCCTGGTGGTAATCGTGGGACACCAGGTACTGTGGCCATCACTGGTCCAGATGATGTGACAGGTCCTTTACTAAATGAGTCAGAAAAACAAATTATTTTTTAGTGACGTAAAAAAAAAACACGCAATTAACAAATCCAGAATATTAGCTGCAGCTTCAACATACCCAAAAGCAGAGGTCTTCTTCAGTATAGATGGAGGTTGGGCCCCCGGTAGTGGGATGTCCTGGATGTGGATGTTGGAGGGGGCGTGAGGCATGTCTGGTAAAGGAATACTGTCCACCTCCACTGACTCTGCATTCTGAAAAAACAGGGCAGGAAACAGACATGACCCACAAAATAAAACCAATGATGTTTCATTTCATTTCAACTAAAAAACAACAGAGACAGAGAAACATTGTCTTCTTAATTACAAGTCCACAGAATTTACAAACCTTAACAGAGTCAAAATAAAGAGCCAGCTGACCACGTTTGGTCTCGTAGTCCAACTCCAGCTTGCGTAGCTCCTTATAAGTGTCTGGATTTTCCCTCTCGTACAAATGGACAATGCGTTCAAATGTCTCACGCAGCTTCTTCCTCTTGTCCCTCAACACCTTCTCGTTCAGCAGAGGCTGCTGGACTGGGTTGAATTCTGTTCAAACAGAAAACATGTTGAGATTCACACGATATCCAGGCTGCTGCACATTCAAGTGACAACCTTTTCATTCCACACTAGCATTTTAGCCTTTTCTGAAGTGAAGTGAAGCAGTGTGTGATTTAGACAGACTGGAAAGCAGCTTCTACTAAAGACAGTCGGAAAAATCCACTTTCTATTCACATATCTAAATATCTACACCACGTACATTTGACCTCAGTAACAGATTACTGATGACATCTCACCCATCTCATCCAGTTTTTCCATATCTTTGATGATCTGTCTGGGGTCTTTCATTTTCAGAACAGCCGCCCTGACCATCATTCTTTGCTTCTTGTTCTGGAATAAACATCCACAGAGAAATGTTAGCATCACAATAACATTGTCGTTGTACAGCATGTTCAAAACAGTATGAGAATCTTTTTTAAAAAGTACCTTTTTCAATTCCCTTTTCCTGGCCTCCTTTCCTGTAACGCAGACACAGAAAAGGGAAAACTTTGTTAGAATTCAGACAGTTTTCACCAAAAGAAATTTGACGACATAAATGAAAAGAGGTTTTCAGTTGTCTCTGGTACTTACTGGCCTGGTCGGTGGGGTTCATGAACTTCCCACTCTTGGTGGAAGAAGTTGAACGTCGCCCCATGTTGCCGGTGCCTCTTCTTTACCCTGTCAGGATGGAGCATCCAAAAAGGAATTATAGGTTGAAATGATAATAATATTCTTTCATACACACATGTAAACATTAGAGTGATTGAGTGATTAGAAATAAAGAGACAAGTATTTTGTCAAATATTTATCAATTCATAATAGAAAGTTACAATAACTATCCATATTTTGTTCAACTGCAACAGTGGGAATGTTATGGCAAACTTAACATATATATATATTTTAGACATTGTTTGACGAGATCAACAACCCATTTATAAACAGACGTTTTAGCTGTTTTGACGTAGCCTCACGATTTATAAACAGACGTTTTAGCTGTTTTCATGCAGCAAAAACGTACGCTAAACTTGACATACACATTGTTGTTGCAAAAGTAACTCTCAATGCTAGCAGCAGAGCGTAGCTAGGCCTTAGTTAGCCAAATAGTAGCCGAGAAATAAAACGTTTCCTTTACCTTCTAACAAAATAAAAACCAGAAGATCGACAGCCTCTGCACAGCAGCCGGGGCTTAATTCAATTCAAGCCGCAGTGACTGTGTATAAAATGAAAATCCTGCTTCAACTCTGAATGTCCATAAAACGACACCGTTAGCCGCCCGCCATGATTCCCACCGCGAGCCAGGCCGGAAGACGTGGGATATTACGTCATAAAAATGCGCCAGAGTGTTTTCAACAAATGAATTGAAATGAATTGGGTTTTTTAAAAAAATACTGAACCTTGGAGAGCTTTTCTCTTTTAAATTTATATAAATATAAAAAATGCTTTTATTCAGTTTACTGGGTAGGAAACACAACAGCCCTGTAATGCAGCAGTTTATTAATAATGTTAATATGTTAAT